GTCATATGGTATGGAATATCCCTTTGGTCAGTTGGGGGCAGCTGTCCCAGCTGTGTCCCCTCCCAGCTTCTTGTGCACCCCCAGCCTCCTCGCTGGTAGGGTGGGGTGAGGAGCAGAAAAGGCCTTGACTCTGTGTCAGCACTGCTCAGCAATAACTAAACCATCCCTGTGTTATCAACCCTGTTTCCAGCACGAATCCAAAACACAGCCCCATACGAGCTACTGTGAAGAAAATTAACTCTATCCCAGCCAAAACCAGCACATCCAATCACTCAGTCACCATAGATACATGGAAATACTGCCATGTTATCAGAGCATTTTCATATGTAATGAGCAGAAGAGACCTCTACAAAATGCTGACTTTTTAGAACAATAGCAAGGAACTGAGACATGCCTAAATAATGTTCTTTCATAATGTTATTATTTAGCAGGAATCGATGTTCACACCTGTTTATTTCTCTTTCAGATACAAATGAAAACAGTGTGCATGATTAATATAGTTAAATTGAAAAATAGCGCAGTATCGATTAGCCAGCTTTCCATTATGCTGTACAACATCAGTCAATCTCTCCTAGACACCAGTAGACACCTAATGGGCTTTTATTTATCACAGCCTAAGAAATCCCCATGGCAAACTTTTTCAACTCGAAACAGTAAATCTCAGGAATTTTGTTTCATCCACAACTGAATATCTTTGCTGCTTGGACTATAAGTGAAAGTCACATCCCAAACCTTAGTGCCCTTTTTTGTAAGTGTTTGGCTCCCAGAGACCTGAAAGTCTTGTTAGATTATTGGCCTCGGCTGCCGTGTTTTGAGGTATGTTGTGTATAAAACCCAGGTCTAATTCCTGTCACATTTTCTGTTCAAGCTGTTAGAGCCCTAGCACTATGCAACCATCTCATCTGTCTATGATCTAAATCCCCAGATGGAGATGCTAAGGTCAGAGACAGGGTTGATTCGACTTCAAATGGAAAGTGAGACAAATTACAGCACAGATGTATTTAAAAAGCGGTTCTCATCTCTCAGCTCCAATCTGCTGCTGGCTTTGCTTATTCTGACGCTAGTGTTGGGCAGAATTACAGCTGCGATCCTACAGTTTTCATGAGTGAATAGAAGGCTTTGGTAAGAAATTGTTGTGCAGGCCTACTAATATCCTGATTTGCAGGAGAGCTCAACCGGTAACTTGAGCGACAAAATGCCAAAGGTTTCAAAGAACATACTAGAATTTCAGTTTCACAACAGAAACATATATAGCCGCTTAGGATGAAGATTGCATACAATTTTTCGTAGAATATCCTGAATTGGAAGGGACCCACGAGGATCAACAAGTTCAACTCCTGACACCACACAGGGCAACCTAAAAGTTAAACCGTACATCTAAGAACGTTGCCCAAATGCTTCTTGAACACTGACAAGCTTGAAGTCATGACCACTTTCCTGTGGAGCTTGTTGCAGTGCTTGACCAAGCTCTCAGTGAAGACCTTTTTCCTAACACCCAATCTGAACTTCCCCTGATGCAGCTTTAAGCCATTCCCTGATGTCCTATCACTGAAGAGATCAGTACCACCCCTTTTGCTGCCCCGCATGAGAAAGTTGTAGACAGCAGTGAGTTCACCCCTCAGTCTCCTCTTCTCTAAGCTGAACAAACCTAGCATCCTCAGCCAGTCCTCGTAAGTCATGCCGTCTAGTCCTTTCACCATCTTTGTTGCCTATCCTTCTCATATTGTGGAGCCCAAAACTGCACCTAGTACTTGAGGTGAGGCTGCACCAATGCTGAGTGTAGTGGGACAATCACTTCTGCAGAACAGTCTGTAGCTTGTTAAGTCTCGTAAACTATAGGGATCTTGTACTATCTCAGTGCACATACAAATTTGTTGGAAAGATTTTTTTTTTTAACATTTTTGATGCTACTATAAGAATAATCAGTCTTTAGTAGGTTTATAATAATACGATATTCTTGTTTCAGTCACATATAAAAACAAGAATAAAAACAAGAATAAAAACATGAATGCAGTTGTTTTCAATGAAAAATCACTCAGTTAATTAGCAGTGGTTTGCAAGCATTTTTTGCAGGCTTTGGCTGATGGCTTCTAAGAGTCCATGTCTAAAGACAACTACTGGGGATAACATTAAAAAAGCCGAGGGTATTTTGAGTTTCAGTTTGTATTTTTCCATGTGACAATCTATATTTAAGACATCCTTAAAAGAATATGAACTCTAGTGGAAAATATTCAGGAATCCACAAATTAAAATGGGTTGAAAAACAGTGGCAAAAGGTAATAGGAAACAAAACTGCACCTAGTACTTGAGGTGAGGCTGCACCAATGCTGAGTGTAGTGGGACAATCACTTCTGCAGAACAGTCTGTAGCTTGTTAAGTCTCGTAAACTATAGGGATCTTGTACTATCTCAGTGCACATACAAATTTGTTGGAAAGATTTTTTTTTTTAACATTTTTGATGCTACTATAAGAATAATCAGTCTTTAGTAGGTTTATAATAATACGATATTCTTGTTTCAGTCACATATAAAAACAAGAATAAAAACAAGAATAAAAACATGAATGCAGTTGTTTTCAATGAAAAATCACTCAGTTAATTAGCAGTGGTTTGCAAGCATTTTTTGCAGGCTTTGGCTGATGGCTTCTAAGAGTCCATGTCTAAAGACAACTACTGGGGATAACATTAAAAAAGCCGAGGGTATTTTGAGTTTCAGTTTGTATTTTTCCATGTGACAATCTATATTTAAGACATCCTTAAAAGAATATGAACTCTAGTGGAAAATATTCAGGAATCCACAAATTAAAATGGGTTGAAAAACAGTGGCAAAAGGTAATAGGAAATATGCCTTGAAGTTTTACTGCAATTCCATTACTACATACAAGGCCTTTGTGGATTTAAGAAGTCCCATAAATGTTCTTTACCATATTACAAAGAAACTAAAATGTAAAGACCCAGTCCAAACTCCCCATGCTCATGTTGGAATTTACTAGCTAAGTGAGTGGTTTAGTGAAGATTTACAATCTCAATCTTATTTAGAATTTATGGGTTTCCCATAGATTTTATTACCATATGTTCCTCAGATGCTAAGCTTTCATTTCTAGAATAATGAAAGTCCTCTATTTTTGATTGCTCAAATAGCCTTCTGAAGAACAGACATAGAGAGGGAAAGTTGCCTGGGTTTGTAAAGAAAGAATTATGTTGGGCAAAATTTGATTACTTCTCCTAAATTTTCAGAAGAAAAGGATGAAGCGAGCACGTGCCACAGGGATTCGTGAAACTTCACCTGAAGAATCTGCCCAGTTCCTTCAGTCAGTGTCCCACATCATATGGGCTGCAAACATTGTGGTAGGAATAACACTGAAGAGGAGATACAGTGAAACTTGATCGCTCAGCATCTGCCTCAATATTCATGCATATAAGTGCCAGAAATCAGCATAAATTTCTGAGACCACCAACACTGAACACAGCACTCACTTTTCCATCTCAGATCAGCCAGGATTTATGCATTGGCAGCATAGTGCCATATTCCTTCTCCTGCCCCATGAACAGAGGGGCAAGGTTACAGGTCAGCAGATACTTTAATTTGCCTGTCCAATGCATTTTTGCATGGGGATTGCATGGCATGCAGTGGGAAGGAGGTAGCAACACCTTGCTGTTCTTCTGGGGTCATGCCTTCTAACCACGTCCGAGAGAAGGCCTTTTCTGTGATGTGACCAGCACAGCACTCTCCCTTGTGTCACAGCCAAGGGAACTGCAGAGGTTGATGAAGGTCAAGCGCTCTCAAAAAAGGCTGGACAAAAAGATGCTGCTTTACTTTATGAGAGTTCATATGGCAAAGAAGTACAAGCCAGCGATAATACAAGGCACATATCTCGCCAACAGATAATGGTAACTCATCAGTCCTACTTCTGCCACTCATTCAAAAGAATGGGAACCATTATTCCTAATTACACAGGAGCTGAAACACAGTTTATCAATTTACTTTGAGATAGAGGGCTTGTTCCCGGGTGCAGAGAATTAATTTTCTTACCGTAATGCCTGGGAAAGCAGAAGATTGGTTCTGGTTGATTTACAGTGTCAGCGTTTTTTTATTATTATTTCATGAACAACCTCCATTTAATCACAAGGCATCTAGAAATTGAATACAAAAGGAGACCTTTCATTATTCATAGATAGTATCTTCCCCAATCGCAGACTTGTTTGGTTAATAATAACTATCGTAAAAAAAAAATCTTCGTTCAGGTTAGAATCATAGGGCATCTTATTTATTTCTTATTCACTTAGTGAATAGTGAATAAGAAATAAATAAGATGCCCTATGATTCTAACCTGAACAAAGATTTTAGGTATTAAAACCTAAAGGGATGCTGAAGATGAGCAAAATTCTCCCCTGCTGCTCTGAGCTAGAGGGTAGAAGTAGGAATTCATTATTTTCAGATTATCTTTGCTTCAACATGTGAAAGTTTCATTCTGCATTTAAAAGTACAGTATTACAAGTGTGAAGAAGTCATCTCCGACCTCTGCAGTGTAACTACTACACAAAGTCTCATTGCTGCTCAGAGAAGTCATGCAAAACCCATACCTGTGCCAAGACTGACCTGTGTCCTCGACAGAGCTAGTTAAGTATTTTATGTCTGAACTTTGACAGAAACTTGGAATTTCAATAAAATACAAGTTTTCACTGCCGTGTGTCAATTTGTTTTCTGTAAGTTTTCAGTGTCTTGTTGGAAAACCCTGAACATTTTCAAGGAAAAAAATATTTAATTATTCTGCAATTTCTGGTAACAGTGGGTGATAGCTCCAGATTATTTTACACACATATATACAGTGAGTCAAAGTCAAAATTTTCCAGAAAAAATGAAAAAAAAAATTATCCCACATATAAATTCTACTTCTAGGGAAGGAAAATAAGAACTAAAAGATGTTTCTGGTTCTTACGACTTAGAGAATGATCTTCAAACATGGGTGATGGATAGCTGAATCTTCAGAGAAATGGAAACAAAGCCTTATCTAAAAAGTCTTAAAGTTTAAGAAGCCTTATGTGCTTCAGTTCTCTTTACTTTAAAAACTATTGCCAAAACTATCTTCTCAGTAGTGGGAGATCACAAAACTCAACCATGTAAGAAATAGTGTGGCCAGCAGGAGGAGGGAGGTGATTGTGCCCCTATACTCAGCACTGGTGAGGCCGCACCTCGAATCCTGTGTTCAGTTTTGGGCCCCTCACGACAAGAAGGACATTGAGGTGCTGGAGCGTGTCCAGAGAAGGGCAACGAAGCTGGTGAAGGGTCTAGAGAACAAGTCTGATGAGGAGCGGCTGAGGGAACTGGGGCTGTTTAGCCTGGAGAAGAGGAGGCTGAGGGAAGACCTCATCGCGCTCTACAACTACCTGAAAGGAGGTTGTAGCGAGGTGGGGGTTGGTCTCTTCTCCCAAGTAACAAGCGATAGGACAAGAGGAAATGGCCTCAAGTTGCACCAGGGGAGGTTTAGAATGGATATTAGGAAAAATTTCATCAAAAGGGTTGTCAAGCCTTGGAACAGGCTGCCCAGGGAAGTGGTGGAGTCACCATCCCTGGAGGTATTTAAAAGACGTGTAGATGTTGCACTTAGGGACATGGTTTAGTGGTGGACTTGACAGTGCTAGGTTAACGGTTGGACTTGATGGGGACTTAAGGGTCTATTCCAACCTAAATGATTCTATGATTTTATGATTCTATATATAATGATTTCCATGCATATATATGGGGCTGTTTGTACAAATAAGAGTTCCAAGAAAGAGTCTACAGTCTCCTTCTCCATGCACATAGTGCAGATAATAAGCCTTAACTTTCTGCCTGGGATGCTGGGAAAGTTAATTTGCTAATGCTTGTAAAGTGCTTTAAAATCTTCAGCTATAAGAAGAGTAAAATGTAACAATTACTTTTTAATGAACTAGAAATAACGTGCACTCAGTCTCAGTGCTTTTTTTCTCCAAGAATGTTTTCTCTTAAATTATATATTTAATTCCCTCTATATATCTACCTAGATTTTTTTTCTTAACATGCACATCACCATTTTATCTTGGCACTGATACAGAAACACAGAGTTTACTTGTTTCTTTCCCTGACAACTTCTTAAGCTCTTTACTATTGATTTAGGAAGTATTGAAGATAAATTAAGAAGTGGAGTTTGCAAGCAGTAAGGTGCCTCCAAGGGGTTCATGCCATGGGATAAACTATCTGTAAAGCAGCAGGTAGGAGCAGAGATGTTTCATGAGCTGCTTTTGCAGGAACTCCTACCAGAGTCTTCTGTGAGACCACAGATGTCAAAGGCAGAATTTATCCATTGCAAGCAGAAACAGCGCTGTGAGCTTGTCCATTTGAGGTGTACCCCATCTGAACAGTGATTTCACAGATCATCACTCCTCATACAGATTCAGCATGACTACAGACTTGTGAATTTTATCGTTTGAACATTATAGTGGGCTTAAGCAGCACTCTGCACAATTCCTGCAACAGTAATAAAAGCAGAGCATGAAATTATTTCCTTGGATGAATTTTCAGAGCATTTCAGAGATTGGTTCCATGTATATGCTAAAGTCTACTCTTAATTCCTAAGGACCCCTTAATTCTCTTGCTTCATAGCAACTTTCCTAAGGAGAGAGGCAGTGCTAGGTTTTGCAGCAATATAGTGAGGAAATAAAGAATAAACCTGACTAGCATCTCAGAAAACAGCATAGTGCTTTACATCATCAACATCTTAGAAATGGCTTAAAATCTAATTTTTGTGTGTGCTGTGTTATACCTGTGGTACTATAACAAGAAATAATGGTTGTAATAAGAGTAATTAAGAATTGTAAATAATTGATATAACTGCAAGGACTCCCTTACATTCATTTTTCTGGTAATAACACGTTCTACTCACTTGAGAAACTCAGCTACCCAAGCCAATTATGTCTGTGTAAGACCAGAATCATGATGGGCAGGAACGTTATTCTAATTAAAATACTGTTCTCATCCTCAAATATCCTATGCCTGTACCATCAAGTAAGCAAATGACCACTGTACAAGATGACCTTGAAGAGACATGTATACACTAGGCGAAAAATATATTTGTTGCATTCATGGATATCAAAATACAGATCTACTAGTCTAAAAGGGTTGCTTTAGATATTTTAATCATTTAAAAACTTCAGTCCAACTTTACTGAGAGCTCTGCGGCTGTATTTGCTTAATCTGTGTTAGGAAAAAGCATGTTTTCATCTGTCCAAACATGGCATGAGGAGGAAATGTTGTTAGACACTTTACTGCAGCAAAAATGGCTATGTTGGAGGGTTACATTAAACAACACTATGTCATGTTCTCAAGCACTGGATCTCTATGTCTGTATTATGGTATTGTTAAAACAGTTCCTGGAATATTTTTGTATTAGAACAGGTAGGACTTTCCCAAACATGATCCGAAATATATCATGAGGTAGATATTATAGGTGGTTTAGACGTGGCCATCCTGTTTTTAAAGATGAAAGGGTTTAATAACATGGATATGTTCCATTCTAGGCCAGTTGGCCTAAGCACCTGGGAACTGTCCTGGGAGCTTGTACCGTAGCCTCATAGATGCAGTCAATAACTGCTTGACAGATCATCGCCTATCCAAGAGTAAAGAAGTTCAAAACAATTAATTCTACTGCAATTTTATTTTCCTGGCAGCTCCTCCTACCGTAATTACACCTTATGTTTCTCTCTGTCTTATCATAAAGGTGAAGAAAACTATTGAGTCAGGAACTGTAGCACTGTGGAACATTTGGTTTTGCTCCTTGGATCTGTAAAAACATCCAAATGAAGACAGCAGTGCTTGTGGGCCTGGTATAACCTCTTTTGCAGTGAAAGCAGGTGCTCTGATTCAACACTTCCAACAGCAGAAAGAGCAGCAACCTTATCCAGTCTGGGCTAGTAACTGAGCAGCAGAAGGCAGCGGAGCCTTGAGGGACCTCAGCTAAAGACACTTAGGACGTGCAGTGATTTTAACAGTTAGCAGACACCAACAAAAGGGTTTATTCCACCTTGCAGACACTTTGCCATACAAGATCTTCTCCGTCCACCCCAAGAAAGGATTCCTGTAACTGGAATCTCTAATGAATTTACCTAATTTACCACACTGTACCTTTCGTCAGCACAGTACTTTTTCTATCATTTCTAGGCACGAATACAGCCTACAAGTTTTAGGATTTTGGTTGAACCTGAATGCTATAAAAATGAAGCGAACTTCATTGAAAGTTTAAGCTTAGGCTTATTTCCAGTTTACATTCATTTATTCTAGTAAATCAAATGGGCTTATTCTGAGATTGTTGTCTGGTACTCAAGCCAGAGTCACCTGGGCAGAGACAATTACATTAATTACATTTTGTTACCCTTCAAAATGGTATGGTAGTAGTCATACTCTCTGTTGGGAGTGGTGCCTGGCCCCATGCTCTCTTGTCTACTACCATAAGAACTTCTTGGGGGAGTGTTATCTTGCCAGTCCCAAAAGTCTGTCAAGGATTGTTCCAATAATTTAATCATACGGATGTTGAATTCTAGTGCCTGGAAACATTCCCCAATAAAATATAATGCACAGCTTAGATATGAGTTCAGAAATTAGGTCTTCTCAGGGCTGGACTTGAAGGTATGGAGATACGGGAATGCAAAGTGGACAGTAGCATTTTCCATAAAAGAGTTTAACATTTTTCTCTGTGCTTGTTTTGAATGGGATAGAGTTAATTTTCTTCATAGAAGCTCACATGGGGCTGTGTTTTGGATTTGTGCTGAAAACAGTGTTGATAACACAGGGATGGTTTAGTTATTGCTGAGCAGTGCTGACACAGAGTCAAGGCCTTTTCTGCTCCTCACCCCACCCTACCAGCGAGGAGGCTGGGGGTGCACAAGAAGTTGGGAGGGGACACAGCTGGGACAGCTGACCCCAACTGACCAAAGGGATATTCCACACCATATGACGTCATGCTCAGCATATAAAGCTGGGGGAGGAGGACGGAAGGGGGGACGTTCGGAGTGATGGCATTTGTCTTCCCAACTCACCGTTACGCGTGATGGAGCCCTGCTTTCCTGGAGATGGCTGAACACCTGCCTGCCAACGGGAAGGAGTGAATGAATTCCTTGTTTTGCTTTGCTTATGTGCACAGCTTTTGCTTTCCCTATTAAACTGTCTTTATCTCAACCCATGAGTTTTCTCACTTTTAGTCTTCCGATTGTCTCCCCCATCCCACCAGAGGGGAGTGAGCGAGTGGCTGGGTGGGGCTGAGTTGCTGGCTGGGGTTAAACCATGACATTCTCCAAGTGGCCACTTAAAATCAGAGACATGTTTTGACAGTAAGCTATTAATCTCATTTGTATCAGAAATAGTGTGGCCAGCAGGAGTAGGGAAGTGATCGTGCCCCTGTACTCGGCCCTGGTGAGGCCGCACCTCGAATCCTGTGTTCAGTTTTGGGCCCCTCACTACAAGAAGGACATTGAGGTGCTGGAGCGTGTCCAGAGAAGGGCAACGAAGCTGGTGAAGGGTCTGGAGAACAAGTCTTATGAGGAGCGGCTGAGGGAACTGGGGTTGTTTAGCCTGGAGAAGAGGAGGCTGAGGGGAGACCTCATCGTGCTCTGCAACTACCTGAAAGGAGGTTGTAGCGAGGTGGGTCTCGATCTCTTTTCCCAAGTGATAGAACGAGAGGAAATGGCCTCAAGTTGTGCCAGTGGAGGTTTAGATTGGATATTAGGAAAACTTTCTTCACCAAAAGGGTTGTCAAGCCTTGGAACAGACTGCCCAGGGAAGTGGTTGAGTCACCATCTCTGGAGGTATTTAAAAGACGCGTAGACATGGTTCTTAGGTACATGGTTTAGTGGTGGACTTCGCCATGTTAGGTTTACAGCTGGACTCGATGATCTTAAAGGTCTTTTCCAACCTACATGATTCTATGATTCTATGGTTCTATGATTCTATAATTCTATGAAACAAACCTCTTCCACCTGTTTTCTGTTCTTCCTCTTCCTTTTGCATGTCTTTTTCTTTGTTTGTGTGTGTACGTGAACGCATGCATGGTCTGTTGAGATGAGTTTTGTGGGCTTACCTATATCTCACAGACTACACTTCTGTTATTACTGTACAGCCGAACTTTGCACACTTAGCATGAGATGGGCACCTCCCAGATCGGGCTTGTGGTGTGCTACACAAAAAGTTGGACCCACGTCTTTTTAACTAGATGTGTAGCTGAGTGCCATCTCCTGTGCAGGAAGCACATACGAGGTAGTACAGAACACCATAGCTTATACTGGTTCGATCCAGCTATAGAATAGATTCAACATGGCCTTTACGAATGGATGGCGTAGTTTACTTAGTCTCCATTACTTTTAAAATGTGCCTAAATCAGAACTGAAACCTCAGCATGATTTGCTTCCACACTGTGAACTCAAATGCTTGCTCAAGGCAACCTTTAGGAAAGGCTAGAAGAAAATTTGGGACCACTCTTGCACTTAAGTGTTCATGGAGAAGCCATGCTGCTTGGGGTACCGTTGTCTCTGCGTAGGCCTCATGTCTTGGAGACAATGTCATGTAAGCAGGAAGTCTGTCTGAGGAAAGTCATGCAGTCTTTTATTACAAAGGA